GATGAGCAATTGCATCCGACGTTTAGACTGCACTGGTCACCTAGATAAAAAATTCTGAACATTCACAGAACACAACCCTATCCCCCACTTCCAACAGAACACAACTCCAAAATAAAAGGCACCAGAGGACTCAAGAATTCAAGAGGATGCAAAGTTTCACTATGAACTCTTATTCTGTCATATTAAGTGGAGCCTGTATGCAGCATGCTGTATATAATGAAGTTTGTTTTGTGATCAAATATGATCAAAGGGGGGATTGATAGATTTTGTATTTTCAGTTATCAGATTCATTTACATTGTGACGTGTATCATAATTAATCCACTCTGTCAGTGTCTGCAAAGGTGTGTGTCAAACGGCCCATACAGATGAATGGCCCATTCAGATGTATGGCCCACAGAAACTGATTGGTGTGAATGACAAAGACTCAGCATTGCTCAAAATGGATTAGCATCTCCTGTGGGAGGTCCTAACAGGTTTCTATTGTTTGTAGCCCATAATCTTCTTTATAAAGTTCTGTCTCACAGACAGAACATTGGGTTAAGATTGTTGAACGGTGACATGATAACATCGCTGCTGAAGGACTGCTACACTACAAACCTTCAATAAATTCTTCTCCCCACAAGAACTGGTCAAGCTTACTTATTTTATGTATTGGAGAAATCCAATACATTGGCGAGCCACTGAAACCACTGCTCGGCATCACCAAAATCTAACAATTTCATCGTCTGAGACAGCAGAGAATAGCCAGAGTAAGCCAAGCCAAGTTTAGCTGGCTAACATGAGCCGTTACTGTGTCTGAGTTAAAGCGTAAAGCATTATACTCGACGCATCCACGAGCGCAAAGGTGCGAATGTGACATGATTGTAACAGCGCGCGCGCCTCTGCATCCCCTAGACACCATTTACTACACACAAATTAATAAATAATCATGTATAAAAACATTTGATCGACTTAAAACGCTTCCAAGATCAACTTGTCGACCGCGATCGACAGGTTGGTGACTCCTGTAACGTTACTGTTTTACGGCCAATCGTACTAATCAGCTGATTGTCAAAGCCATAACACAGTGAGGGAAAGATAAACAGTCAAACTACATGTTTTACACCACTCACAAGGGAAAAGTCACTACTCACGGTGTCTATGGCTAGCTTCTAGCTTTCTGCGGCTTCTCTTTCAAGGTATGAACGAAACACGCTCCGTAGCGATGTTTTTTCATTATGGTTCATTGAGTAAGGTCTTCATACACCACTAAACACATAGTTATGGATCTTATATTGCATTTCTGTCAATAGATCCTCAGAAATATTACACATTGCACCTTTAAATCATTAGACTTCATTAGTATACATATTAACGTAAACATAAAACACTCTAATTTACATAAATGAAATAAGAGACATTTTACAATTTAGATCCAAAATTAAAAAGGTGATTTGTTAGAAATGGTTTACTTTTTTACTGTTTTCACTGGAAACTATTAGATTTACATTTTTTACTCACAAGAACTATTTTAAAAATATTACTGTAAAGTACATTTTTTTAAATATAATATTAAATATACATTATCACTGTATATATATATATATATATATATATATATATTATAATATTTCAAATATATAATAAATATTGAACTAAATGTTAAAAAATATATCATTTATTTACATATATTCACTTGGCAGATTCTTTTATCCGAAGTGACTTACAAATTAGGAACATCACAAGCAATTTTATACAATTTACAGTAAAGTTCCATGTATCTGGTTAAATTGAATATTACATTTTATCATTTAAACTCATCAAATAGATTTTTGATAGCATTTTTTCTATGAGCCATGAGCGAAGTAAAGCAACAATGGTTTACCAACTGATGCAATAGCATATGGCAAAAAGCACACCTGTTCCTTGAGCATTATTAGTTGAATTCCCTGTTTTGACCAAGGCCAGACCAACAGAGAACTGCAAGTAAAACGACAGGATTGTTAGCAGTGAGCCTTTGGGAGTTTCTTCCCCTGAAACACTGACCAGCTCTCGTCCTTCACCTGCACATGCCATTCTGACATCAATGTGCATTTCCAATCCTAATCTGAACAGTTTTAGATCTTAAAAAAGAGATATACTGGTCAAATAAAGTAGAGCTTCAAGACTAATATATGGTTGCTTTTAACCTTATTCTTCCACAGATGTGTGGGCAGTCATATGTGAGCTTTCGCTGTGTAAATGCTGAATCGGGTAGTTACACTCTAAATCTCACTTTTATTGCAGAGGACACATTTCAAGCATTAAGAGTTCTGCAAGGCGGCTTAAATCCTTTCTGGCTCAAAGGGAAAATCTTTTTCCCCCTGGATTTGATTAAATTTTGTATTTGAGGTTGGGATTTATTTCAAAGAGCCTGTAATGTAAGGTGGCATGAGAATAAACTCAAACAAATGTGTATGTAAATGTTGTTATTATTATGTAAAACTGAAACTGTAAATAAAGGTTTTTGTTAGTTGAAATAAAGATGACAAAATGAAATTAGATAAACTTATAAAAACTTGGTAACTTAAATAAAATGAGTTGAATTATACTGATGCAGTATAATTAGTAAAACTGTGGGTGGATTGGTCGATGGATAGATGGGTGGGTGGATTAGGGTGGATGGATGGATGGATGGATGGATGGATGGATGGGTGGGTGGATGGATGGATGGATGGATGGTTGGGTGGATGGATGGATGGATGGATGGATGGGTGGGTGGATGGATGGTTGGGTGGGTGGATGGATGGGTGGGTTAGGGTGGATGGATGGGTGGGTGGATGGATGGATGGATGGATGGGTGGGTGGATGGATGGTTGGGTGGGTGGATGGATGGGTGGGTGGGTGGATGGATGGATGGATGGATGGATGGATGGATGGATGGATGGATGGATGGGTGGGTGGATGGATGGATGGGTGGGTGGATGGGTGGGTTAGGGTGGATGGATGGGTGGGTGGATGGATGGATGGATGGGTGGGTGAATGGATGGATGGATGGATGGATGGATGGATGGATGGGTTGATGGGTGGATGGATGGATGGGTGGGTGGGTGGGTGGGTGGATGGATGGATGGATGGGTGGATTTTAGGGTGGATGGATGGACGGATGGATCGGTGGGTGGGATTATAGATTTTAGGGTGGATGGATGGATGGATGGATGGGTGGGTGGGTCGGTGGATTTTAGGATGAATGGATGGATGGGTGGATTTTAGGATGGATGGATGGTGGATGGGTGGATGGATTGGTAGATTTTAGGGTGGATGGATAGATGGTTGGGTGGATTTGTGGATTTTAGGGTGGATGGATGGATGGGTGGGTGAGTGGGTGTGTTAGGGTGGATGGGTGGATTTTAGGGTGGATGGGTGGGTGGATTTTAGGGTGGATGGATGGATGGGTGGGTGGATGGGTGGGTTAGGGTGGATGGATGGATGGGTGGGTGGTTGTATGGATGGATGGGTGGCTGGATGGATGGGTGGTTGTATGGATGGATGGGTGGCTGGGTGGTTGTATGGATGGATGGGTGGCTGGGTGGGTGGATGGATGGGTGGCTGGGTGGTTGTATGGATAGATGGCTGGCTAGGTGGGTGGTTGTATGGATGGATGGGTGGATTAGTGGATGGATAACAACCTCCTAGAGTTCCCTACAGTTGAGGATACAGGACTGTGCAACAGCAACACACTCAGTAACATGGAGCAGACCTGATGTGAGGAATCTGATCAGATCTTCACATCGGATAACACAGTACTAGTGTCTCGCCTTGCTGCACTGCAAACCCTTCCGGCAGAGATCAGTGATTGCATGGCTATCTGTGTTGCTCTCTGTAAACATGCGTCTCTCCCTGCAGTGTATGTGTTGTGTGTGTGTGGTGGAAACAGGTCAGCGTGTTTTGCCAGAAATTGTTTGCAGTGATTGCGATGGACACTCTCAGATTTGTGTGAAAATGTGTGTCGGATAAACTATATGCACTTAATCTATGCATTCATTGAGTGATCTGGTTACAGTGTTCATAAATCAATCCTTCTCAGCACAAACTATCCAGATGAAACTTATTTCTAAAAAAATTTCCACATTTGACAGACAGATGACGGACGGATGAATGAATGATAGATAGATAGATTGCTTTAATTTCTGTGGTTTGCTCAGCAATCAATCCAACTTCCTGGCTCGGTCAATGCTGAAATGTCACTCAAAATCTCTTTCCAGTTCACACATTATTTGGCTGAATGTGTATAGGATGTGCCAGTCCTCCCTTCTAACCACCAGAGACGTGACAGTGACGGGAAGCATTTAATAACAGGGAAATGAATCAGGTTTCAGCACTTTTTTCACGTCACAAACGCTGAATCTCAATCATTATAAATCTGTAAGCTGTAGGGGGGCTTAACTCCTTAATACAGTGAAACTTGCATGTTGCCATTGTCTAGCAGTTAGCTTCACCTCTCTAAATTACACTATACAGTAGGTCAAAAATTTGGAAAAATTTATTTAATATATATTCCTTAGGGCTGTCAAACGATTAATCGCATCCAAAATAAAAGTTTGTGTTTACATAATATATATGGGTGCACTGTGTATAATTATTATATATATATATATATATATATAAATACACACACACGCATGTATATTTAAGAAAAAAAATATTACTTATATATAAAATATTTATATATAATATAAATTATATATAAATCTATACACAGTATATACATGCAAATATTTCTTAAATATATACCAGCATGTGTGTGTATTTATATATATAAAATAATTATACACAGTGCACCCACATATATTATGTAAACACAAACTTTTATTTTGGATGCGATTAATCGCGATTAATTGTTTGACAGCCCTAATATATATATATAATATGTCTCTTCGCAAGATATAATAAACATTTGCAATATAAAAATAAAATAAAGAATAAAATTTGATAACATCTCAAGTCTTGATTTCCTCCCAAAATAAAGCAGAATTTGTACCTGCATGGCCTCAGTTGGAAAGGGTCACTGCATCATCTCCAGGAATGACTCTAATGCTGCAGTCTTGACTTGAGTTTGCAGGACGACAGGTGATGAGTGACAGCACTTTAATTGGGCCAAGCACAACCTCTTCCTCACCTCCACACAATTCACTCCACCACTCCAATTAACATCCACGTCTATCAGTCACAATTCAGACAGGAGATGAGAACGGAAGGGGAAAATATAGCAAATTATTACAGACCAATCAGTTTTAGGGATTGAAAAATTCAGTCCCTGCCAGAAATCAGTCCCCGATGATCATGTATTCATAATGGAAGATGTCCCAAAGCCTATGAGCTCCATTAATATTTTAGCTAGCCTGCCGCACAAGAGCGTAGGCAAGAAAGAACGAGATTTATCCACTGTCATAAACTGATCTGAAGCGCAACCCCCACTCCGCAAAACAGTATAACTTTTTGATTAATTAAACTCCTGTGGATTACGAGACAGACTATGCTGCCAACCGAAGTGTGGGGTTTAATGTCCTCCGCAGCTTTGCAGATAATTGCGTTCGCAGGCAATAAGTCTTTATTAATATGTTGGGAAACATGGAACAAAACACTGGGAGACTAGGATACGGGTCCACTTTTGCAGGAGAGCAGCAGTTCACGAACGACTGCAGACCCGAAGGCTTTCCCTTGAATTCACCGTGCTGATCGAAACGTTTAAAACCAGGGCCTCAATACCACATGATAACTAAAGCTCCTCCTGAGACCCCATCGTGCTGAATGAATTTCAAACAGGCATAAAGACGCCTCCTGCTTTAATTACGGAACAATTTGGAGGCCTTTTAGCGTCGACGGCAGTAAATGAAGCTTTTTTCTGCTCTGTGCAATCAAGTCTGCTGTCATTTCTCCTTTATATTTTTCATCATCTTCTTATAATGAGGCATCGGGGGAGGATTACCTCGTGTCTCTGTCTGTCCGCCTCATTGGTCGACTGCACTCCAGCTGACCAGAGGTCACACAAGATGCTTCATTCTGGTGAAAAGGAAGAGGACATCGTGAAAAGCAATAGGGGACCGCAGAGACTGCTGATGGACAGTTCAGGCTCCAGGGGAAGTCCCTCATGTGTAATGAACCTACAATGGCACAATAACAGTTGGCAGATTAAATGACTGTGTATCATGAGAGGAGAAGGACAGCTTAAACGAAAGCAACACCTTGAGAGTATTATCATGAAATATTGTCATACAGGGGGACACAGCCCGCATTGTAAAAAAAAAATGTATGTAGAAGTTTTCTATCTTAATTGTGGGCTCATTGACTTCTGTTTTCCAATTAAAATGAACAAACAGACAGGATGGGATGTTTCATTTACATAGTCCCTGGTCCTAAAATAATTCACTTGGTAATAATAACTAATGAACTATTATTATTATTTTGGTTTGCATACTATTCTGAAGTTTCTGGAACACAGATAATGAAGCCAGTCAAGCTAAAAAGCATACAGTTAATGCATGCTTTAAGGCCCCCTGAAATCAAAATGTAAGATTTTTAACTTTTAGTATGAATATGTTAGCCTTAAGGTTATGAATAAGCTGGTGTGTTCCCAAACAATGACAAAAAAATCTAATGATACAAGCATTCAAAACATAGTCTCTCACTTCTGATAAAATGGATCACGGATTTGTATGACAACATTAAATGCTGAGCTCATAGTAATCAATCCTGGAAAAGAGCTTGTCGATGGGTTATAAACAAGCAACAGTTTAGAGGCTGGGAGGCTGATGTCTATTTGTTTGGTAATGAAAAATGATTTTCTCTCTCTAAACACATGGGGGGGGGGGTCATTTTATTATCTTTGTACATAGATAACACATTATTATGAAGGTAAATTATCTCTGTTTATCAAACACTCTTTGGTGCAGCGATGACAATAAATCATATACACAGTAGATGAGGGGAGAAGTGTCAATGAATAGCTCACAAACAATTAGTCAGGTTCAGGCAGATGGAGGAGAAGGAGGATGAGGAGGATTCATTGAATTCAAATGCAGCGTTTAATAACAATCCAACAGGTAATACATACGCTAACTCAAACGAGACCAACTCTGAATGAGGGTGAGTGTTGTAGTCGAGACCACCTCACTCGAGCCCAAATCTAGACCGAGACCAGAGAGAGTCGAGTCCGAGTCAAGACCGAGTCCATAGAGAGTCGAGTTCGAGTCGAGTCCGAGACCAGAGACGGTCGAGTCCAAGTTGAGACCGAGACCAGTGAGGGTTGATTACCTAATTTACTTTTATTAACTTAGAGAAATCCTTTTTTTTTTTTTTTTTTTTTTACTGAATTTACTTAGAGTTTAAAAAATATGATCAGTTTAGGGTAAAAGGCCACATAGTAGGTGGTGTTAAAAGCAATTTTATTACAATTTGTCATGCGCAGTTGCGCACTAGAAAATCACCAATCACTGGGCGTGTCAATCAATTTAAAGAAATATTTCATTAACATACATTAATAATCATGAAAAATATTTTGAATTGAACACGAGTGGACTCGGGAATAAGTCCGAGTCCTAAAAAAAAAAAAAAATGTTCGAGTACGAGTCAATTCCGAGTCCAAATGACAAGACCAAGACCATTAAAATATGGTCTCGAGACCGAGTCTCGAGTACTACAACACTGATAACCTACATGACGAACAACTGTGGTAATGATTAGAGTGGCGGAAACTCAAACGTGACTAATGAAAACAAACTAAAAGTCCCTGAAAACAAAGAAATACACACAACTGAATAAATGTGACACAAAATGTAAAGCAATACAGACACTTTAAAATATGTGCATGTTGCATTTTACTTAAAATGAGCAAGCTTGAGTTGGCCCAGCTTTGTTTTCGCCACTGAATAAAACAAAAAATAAAATAAAAGGACAGTAACTTTTTATCTCACAATGGTGGGTTTATATCTGCAATTTTTTAAAAATTGAGAATTCTGAGATATAAACTTACAATCGCAGGGAAAAACAAGTCAGAATTGCGAGGAAAAAAGTCAGAATTGTGAGAAATTGTGTTCGGAATTCTGACTTTTTGACTGTTTGTATCTCAATTAAAAATTGCAAGATATAAACTCAAAACTGCAAATTATGAAGTCAGAATTTCAAGATCTAAACCTTTTCTTGCAATTGTGACTTTATATCACACAATTTAGACTTATAAATTACAAATGTGAGTTTATACACTGTAAAAAATATTTTCAAGATTTATCACAACATATTTTCTTTTGTCAAATCAACTTTATAATAATTTATTTAGTTGAGATAACTTATTATTTTGAGTTTCTGATGATTAAATTAATCTCCTTCATTGTATTAACTCACTTTTTCCAGTTCAATGAACTTAAAATGTTAAGGCAACCAGGTTACTTACTTTTTTAAGTTAAACCATCAATATTTTTTTACAGTGATAATCACAATTCTGACAAAATAACTCACAATTGTGAATTTATATAATCGCAATTCTGAGAAAAAAAAAACAGAGATGTAAACTCACAATTGTGAGGAAAAAAAGTCAGCTGTGAGATAAAAAGCATTTTTTTAATTGCGTTGCAGAAACAAGCTTCCATAGCCCAGATAGTTTATGATTTGAGGTAGGCTACTTAAAGTCAACATGAACATGACTGGTTTACAAAAGTCTTACTGATGTAATCTGACATTTCTAAGTGAAACACAGGATATTTAATGAACTTGATTAGGACCTGATCCTCCATTATGAATTGATTGGTTTAGAGAATGGGTTTTACGGACCTGAAACGTGGTGAGGGGAAGAAGTGGAATCGTTGATGTGGAATGGGTGAAAAGTAAAGCATTAATTATAATATGGCAAAATAAATGGGAATAACATGTATGTGTATTAAGTAAGTAAATAGGGTAATTTCCTGTTGACATTTTCAATGTTGATAAATGTCAAACATGTAAAAGGGACCTTTTAGAAATGGAAGAATGAAAAGCATGTGGATTTGAAAAAATTTGCATTTTAATTGTCTACAGATTCAATGACAAACATGCCAGATCTTCATTTTATAAATAAAAAAGATATGTGGGGGTAGCAAACAGAACAGACATGGTGGAATAAAAAACAGAAATAAGGATTCCATGATGCAAACACACTTCTAAAAAAAAAGGTAGCACAGCGGGAAGGATAATAAAGAACAGAGATGAATGAAACTCTGGTGCCCAGACAGGTGGAAATAACAGAGAATTGAACTGAACGAGGATAAAGAAAAGCATCCGTCTTAAAGTATCAAGGCCATTTGCCACGGACTGCGTTGCTTTATAAATGATGAGATGCAGAGCAGTTTGTTTGATTTCCTCAAGGTATACACGAGTTAATGGGATTTGACGGGATATAAAATGACAAATAAAAGCAATGACGCGTACATAGATTTAGCATTGGACATAATCAGAAGCAGCTCATTAATATACAGTTCACAAGCAGGTTTGCATTATGACATCACTGTTTACCTCACTCTTAGAAGAAAAGGTTCTATATAGAACCTTAAAAGGTTCTATCAGCGCTACGTATTTGGAACCCCTAAAAGGTTCTATACACTCTTAAAAAAAGGGTTCCTCTGGGTTCTATATAGAACCTTAGGGTTCCATACTTGGCCAATAGAACCTTTTACCAAAAAAAAATGGTTCTATATAGAACCATTTTGGAGTTCCATATATGAAGCAGGGGATGGAACCATTTCTTCTAAGAGTGCTGCATGCAAAAACCAAGAACATTATTTCTTTTATTTGACAAAATCATGCCTTCTGGATGTGTTTTTATAAGCTTAAAAAGAATCCAGGGATGATCTAACTGGCTGTTTCAGTGGATGTGTCATTATTATGCAAAGCACTCCTTATTGACTTAAAAGAGCATGTCAAAACACAAACAAGTCTTAATTATAATATTTTATTCTATCTGAAGCCAAATGGTATCTTCAAGATGTAGAGTATTTAGTGACCCAGATTGAGCATGAAATATATATGAAGATGGCAAGAGGATTCCAGAGTCCACTAAATAGCTTTTATGATCATAATTATATGCCATTTGGCTTATGATTTTCATACATTAGAAGCTTTTCACGAGTTGATCTGTCGACAGGAGCAGCATGGTGCAGCCTCGCGTAATGACAAAAAGAGAAAAGACAATTGACCTCATTGCTCAACAGGGCTGTCCCTCTGACTCGACTCACGTGTGAGTAACAGTGATCATGGAGAAGATGGAGGAGGACAGCAGAAGATATTACAGACAATTGTAGACAGCAAGTATGTTTGTTGCATAAACTAAGTACTAGCAGTTAGTCAAGGGGCAATCAGACATACTTTTTTGGTATCAAAGTAGACCAATCCGTTTTTATGTAACCGACTTTAAAACGTTATAAGCAGTCTTGGCAGTTTATGCAACCAGCCACAGAATATTCCAGAACAAATCTGTGCATGCATAACTTTAAAAGCGCTGCAGATGTCCAGAGGTGTTTGTAGTCCTAGAACCTGCAAAACAATTAGCATATTCAAGCCATGGACGCCCTTGGGGAATTTCCCATTGTGGTTATGAATATCAGAGTAAATGAAGTGGGTGATATTGCTTGTAGAACAAAAAGTAAAAAGAAAATTACTAAGTCAAACATCAAATGTGCTTTTTAAAAGCCTCTGTTTAAAAAAAGACATTGATAAGTTCCTTTACAAAGACAAAGGCAGCATTTTTTTTTTATCAGAAATACAATAAAACAGTATTATAGTGAAAAAATATTGCAATTTTAATTGTATTTTTATATATTTTAAAGAGTAATTCATTCCTGTGATGGCAAAGCTGAATTTGTTCAGTTTTCAGTGTCACATGATCCTTCAGAAATCATTCTAATAGGCTGATTTGCCGCTCAAGAAACAATTAGTTTTATTAATATCAATGTTGAAATATTAATGTTGTGCTGCTTAATATTTTTGTGAATCTCTTGTGGAAACCGTATAACTGCCTAACTTTTGCACAGTTTGATTTGAACAAGTTTTAGTTTTTACAGAGCTAATTATCAAATGAATAAATAGGCATGAAATATAGAGGTTTCATTATTCTATATTATACACATTTTAAATATAGATTTGAAATTATGTCCTTTAAAGCTGCAGTACGTAGTTTTTCCTCTTTGCCGCCAAACTCGCCATCTCTGTTCGAAATCTGCAATTGCAGTTATTCGCAGAATTATCAACTATACGCGAGTTGTAGTTTGATGGCACAGTGTGGATGAACACAATGTTTGAAAAGAGTGTGCAGCTGTCAGTCACTGCGCCGTTGTCGATACTGGCATTCAGAATCAAAGATTATTCGTTTTGGAAGTATGACCAACATCATAACTTTCACTGGAATTTGGTTGCCTGACAGGGAAAATCGCATTTGGTTATTTTGGGGCTAATTTAGCCGCACAGACCTGGCAACCCAGCCAATGAGAATTAAGTATTCCAGAGAGCTTGTAAGTATGTCCTTTAAAGGTGAACAAAACCAGTATAAAATTGTTTTAGTGGTCCAGAAATAAAACAGAGGGACATAACAGCTCACAGTAAAACTGATGCCAGCAGGCTGATTCTGTCAGGAGCAGAGGACGACTGCCAACCACTCCCGAAGGAATGCCAATGTGTCTCTTTCATGCTGTAATCTCTTTTACAGCCATATGTTTTCCTTTCCCACCATTTTAGACATAACCATATGCTGTTCTTTTCTTAAATTACGTAGCTGACGGAAAGCGTGGGTATGAAATACAACAATGATAAATAATAGAACAGTGGACATTTGGCTTGGCTCTCCACAAGGACCTATGATAAAGAATTATTGGTATATTTATTTTACAGTCCTGTTCTGAATGTACTGTAAGTGTACATCTTACAGCAATTATAAAAACTGGATAATAATAACTAGGTACTAACCCAGTCTGAACTTACCCCTAAACCTAAACTTAACCCATGTAGTTACCTGCCAACACATGTAATGTAAAATAAAGTGCAACCGAATAATTAATCCGATTTTTGAAACAAGGTGGTGTTTGGCCACAGAAAACTCACAGCCAGGTTGTTGCTAAGCAGTTTCTAAAAGTTACAGTTTTTTTCCAGCACTTTCTAGTATGTGGTTTCTAGGTGCACTCTAAACAATGCTGGGTTGTTTTAACCCAATTTTGGGTAAAATATGGACAAACCCAGCCATTGGGTTAAAAATGTAGTTTAAAAATGTAACCCAATGTCCATATTTTACCCAAAACTGGGTTAAAACAACCCAGCATTTTTTTAGAGTGTGGTATTCTAGAACCTGCATATGGCTTGAGTTCCACAATGTAAATCTTTGGGATTTTTTTTTTTTTAAATTGTAAATCTGATCGAAACGTTATAGCAACCCAGCCCTAAACATATTGAGTGTCAATACTTAAAGTAAGGACACCTTACTTCAAGTATTGACACTCAAAATTGTGTCAGAGTGAGACAGACAGGACAGGATATCACTTAAAATGTGCAAATTACAATACCAACGAGGAACAACACATTTCAAGGTTGCTGGCAGGCACAGTGTTTTGTTTTTTTTTTGTCTGCGTTTGACAGTGTGCCGTCTGTCAAATAACTTTCCAACTGAGCTGTCAACAGACCCAGAGGTGGAAACAACAGAAGCATGTCACTGTGAACAATAAAATTTCAAGGTGAAATTACCATTTGTCAGACAATGGTTTCAGGGGGTGGGCTTGTATAATTTGCACATTAAATATTTCATTTAGGCTTTGTGTTTTATTAATGTAAACTCCTGTTTAGCTGCAGGCTTCTTGGCTTTAAACATACTGGCACCGTTCACTGTCTGATCATTAACGGTTATATAAGATATTAAACATTTTAACCACATTACACGCAACAAACCAAACATCTCCTTTATTTATCACACTCAAGATAATCGCATAAAATACATGATCATTTATTGAGCGGTTGTCAAAATAAATCAGCGCTTTTCATGGAATTATTATTGTTACAAAATGCACAATTCATTGACATACTTTTTAGTCACATTCACTATAAAGTTAAGCACCCAAGGCTGAAAACGACACAATCCGTCTCCGTTGCACGTGGATCAATAAATGTGAAAATGAAGATGAAAAATGTACACCTGTGCATTTACATTTACATTTATTTATTTGGCTGACGCTTTTATCCAAAGTGACTTACAATCGCTATATATGTCAGAGGTTGCACGCCTCTGGAGCAACTAGGGGTTAAGTGTCTTGCTCAGGGACACATTGGTGTCTTGCAGTGGTTTCGAACCCGGGTCTTTCGCACCATCCCCATCCCCATTTTTCAGATAAAACATTATTGCAGATTGAAGCTGTGTGACACATTAAGATAAATGCTTTGCAATGCATCTTTGTGTGAAATCAACAGCTCTCAAGCACCCATTAAAGTCTGCTTCTCTGAGTAATAGTGAAATTTGATCTTTTTGACTAAACGTTGTGACAATGCAGATGGTTACAGCAATTTCCAATCTGCTACTTGGCTCAAATGTAAAATAGAAGTTGTAAATATGCCATTGAAGCCACTTCAGTGTAATGGCATAACATTTTCAGAGCAAAATGTCTTGATGCACCCTGATTTAATGGTACTTCATCTCAGCCTGTCCTATCATACCTGAAAACTATCATCATCTTTCAGGCAAACGGAAGAAACAACACTATATTTTGAACATTTGAGATCTCTGGCCATTTTTGATAGTTGCTGTGGTGATTTGAACATAGGTCAACGTGATCTTTCCTAATGGGAAGCGTGATTCTGACAAACAGAAGTTCTGGGTGAGATACTAAAGCAATTGACAATTTCTCAGCCCGATGTCAAAAACTGAATGATGAAAAGATATTGTATACCTCATCCAAGTTTAATTTTCAACACAGATGAACATCACGGAACGGTCATTTGACTGATAAAATTAATTATTTTAATGGCTCATTCATTGCATTTACTACATTTAATTTTTTTTTAGTAGAAAATATGTAAACCTGCTTAAAACATTTACTTAAATTGCATGAGAATAGCATTTACTACATTTAGTTTTTTTAGTAGAAAATATGTAAACCTGCTTAAAAAATTGCATGAGAATAGATAGAAGTTTATTCTTCCCAAGCCAGCTGCTTTTTTTCTTCTTTTCAAGGCGTCCTATTATGCTTTAGTTAGTCAGTAGTGTTGCTGTTTGAGCATAAAAAGATCTGCAAGGTTGCAAAGCTCAAAGGGAGATATTTTATTTAACAGAATTCACACTCTATGAACTAAAACGAATACTCAAAAAAGGAGACAAGCCCTGATTGAGCAGCGCTAGAGAAGACAGTATTGTCGCTATGTCAAAGAGAGACATTTTTTTCCACCCCATTCCCAAAACTAATTTGTTTGACCTTTTTAAGGTTGATGAACTTAGAGTGGTTAAAATATATTTTAAAAACAGTTCCTGAACATTATAATCCCAACGTTATCTGTGTGCTGCACATTACATGGAAATCAGCTTCCAAAAGAGAAATCAATGCAGGCTACGCACAAAAGCTTCACCTGAAATGGAGCAGTTCCCACTTTGTAGGGACAACCTGTTGTTTGTGGATCAAAACTTATTATTTGTAGTTGCATTTTCTATTAACAGTTCCAATTATAAGTTTTATGTTGTTGCTACGATGTAAACAAAGGGCAAAGCTATTTGGCTCCTAGCTAATGTAACCTCTTGCTTTTGCAAGGCTGTTCCACGTACCTTAGGAAATTGAACCAGGGTTTTGTCATCAATTGCTGTTTGTATTATCATAGGTTTCTGACAAATGGTGTATAACATCATATCTTAAATGTAAAATCCCCCAAAAACATACCAATCTAAAATGTCCTGTAAAATCCATGCTTGCAAAGCCCGTGCTTTAAATCCTTAAAATCTGATTCAGGCCTGAATTGGTTTGAAATTGATGGCTCCTTCATATTTACACCTGATCAGATGAAACTCGCTGTTACGGTAAGGGGAGGGACATTTCCTGAACACACGGTGCCAATCACAACACACTGGGCCAGCTAACCAATCACAGTGGAGTACAAAAAATAAGAAAGCAAAAACTGATGTATAACAGTTAAGTATGTCAATGTATCTCTTTTAATGACATTTAAAAATTAAATCTATTTTACTGGAAACAAGATAAACTAAATTAATATTAAATTATATTAATAATATATTACATTTTTAAACAATTGGGTGTCCATTTTCCATCCAGGGTTCAAGTAAAGCATGTTGTTTTTATGTTCGAGTGCATTTTACAGATCCTTCCCAGGAATCACAAAAAATGCCAATCAAAACATAAAATCTTCAATAAAAGCATCTCACTCCGTCAAAACCAAGTTAGTGCAAGTCATACTTTTCCAACGAGATCCTCAGCCGCAGTCCGCCCACTGAATATAACATCATTGACAGAGACACCATCGTAGGAAGCTCCCGCCAGTGTAAGGGGCAGATTGTGGTTGCTGATGTATTGCCTCATCTTTTCTGAAAATAAGAAATGGGAACACACAACCCTCATTTACATGACCCGAGGAATAGATAGTGGAATGAGTTTGGGGGATTGATAAACTTACCAAGTCGTTTCCAGTGTCCTAAATGATACTGCGGAATGCAGTTCTGAAAAAATAATCACATTGATAAAATGACTTAATAACGGGAATGACAGAGCAGAAAAAAAAAAATACACAAAAGAAATGACATTCTTTCATCAAAAAGATGAATATCTTCTAGATATGAGACTCCAGATAAAGTAGCAGTCTGAATATCTCTAGTCTCTGTGAGAGTGTATAAGGGTAATTAAACTGTTCAGAAGACATCGAGACAATGTAGCATGAAAAAATGTGAGAGTGGGCGCAATAAGGTGGAAATTTTCCTCTTGCTTTATGACCATATAATTAGGAATAAGTCAGTCAGACATGAAGCAGAGCAGCTAGTAGCCCCCCCCCCCAAACGACAGTCTGTCATCTCCGGCCTGAAAACGAGTGACCCTCTCGGAGCCCTCTTGCCACAGCAGCGCTTGCTTCTGTTCTGCTCACTGAACTCCCTGAACCACACTGAGAGATGGAGGGCAGGGGTAATCTTTAAAGAAATGGACCATCTGCCTTGATTTATGTCAGAACTGAACCCCAGAGAGGCGTCTGAGGGCATCTGGTGGCTGTGAGCTCCATAAAGCTATTGCTATGCATGGATTACTCAAAGGAGAGCTTGAATAGTAAAACAATCTTTTGGCCTTTCTTCAAATGAATGTGAATCTATTCAACACTTTTGTAGCAATGCCATTTTTCTTCCCAGATGGCTTCTAAAAAAACAGTCTAAATTAGTTTTGCATGAGCATTTTATACCCTTTCTCTGACCCAGAGAAGTACACTGGCCAATTTTGCCATTTTACGATCTTTATGCATACATGTTTTGTTATGATCATCTCAATACCATTATGTGATGAACAGTATTCAAAAGAGCAAACTATTTTTTGGTTTTCTAAGATGTGTTCCTTAAGCAAATATTTGTATATAAATATATTAAAACTACATTATTATTATCCTTAGTGGTAACATTTTACTTGAAGGGGTGTGCATAAGACTAACATGACACCTTCATAATCATGACATGACATATGTTATGAATATGAAGAAAGATTTATGCATGTTTGTGACAACTGTCATTAAGTGTCATTCGCTCAGTTATGACATTTTAAAGCCACAATATGTATTTTTTCTGCATTAAAAATAGCAAAAATAACTGTATCTATGTTATATATTTCTGTTAGATATGTACTTACATTACCCCGACAGTTTCCACCAAATTTCAAATACGGAGAAATTTATAGTTTAATTCGAAGACACGGGACGTTTCTTTATTTCCGTTTCGTCGCCCGTCTATGGCGTCATATAACCTTTGACTCCTCTATTTTCTCTAACTTCCTTGCGGAACCCGGCGAAACCGCCAAACACAAAGGGGAACACTGGACTACCGCCAATAAAGCAAAGAAAATGACGAAGAAAAAAAGTAGTACGTATTTTTATGTGTGTAAATCACGTGCCCGCTCACGAGCGCTCACTCTTAACAGACACACTGTCCCCGGTGCTGCTCGCGCATAAAGTGCTCCCCGTTCACAGTAACCGTGTCGTCTCATTCAAAACAGCCAACTGTTGCTGTTAGCGAGCCGCGCACATTGAATACTCTTATGAGTCAGGCTGCGAATGTACGTGCCCGCTTCAGCGCGCTCATACTTACTAAATAAACGCCTCACCTCCGGCGGTACGTCTTTTGTTATTATTTTAAACGAGTGACCCCTGGTGGCCAAAAATCTCATATATATATATGAAGAGTTCAGATGCAAAAGCCTCAAAAATCATCATTAAAGTAGAAAATTTCAAATGGCATTTAATCAAACTTGTATATTTAAGTTCAGTAATTTCACTTAAATGGCAATGATAATCACCTATTAATTGTTATTTAAGTGAAATTACTGAACTTAAATATACAAGTTTGATAAAAAATCATCATTAAAGAAGAAAATTTCAAATGGCATTTAGAGGCTTTTGCATCTGAACTCTTCATATATATAATTTAAAATAAATATATATACACACACACGCACACACACTATTACTACGTGAAAATTTTACATTTAAATCAAACTTTTTGCAACCACTTCATTAAAAGCAATTACCAACTCAAGGCTATATTGATAAATATTTACATTTCTTTTTTTACTTCATATTTATCCCCATTTTATAATATTTATAAGCTACTCGTACAGCTTTGATCAAGGCAAATGGGGTTTTATGCACTTTACCCTTTACCCATGCACAGCTTCAATGGCTTATTGCTTAATGCTTATTACACAGTCTCACCTTGAGTAAAGCAACAAGGCTCCATACAGGTTGTGAGGTTACGCCCAGGTGAGAGGTCACGGCCCGGGTGGCTCGATCCAACAGCTTCTGGTCCGTCACTGAATCAGGACTACCAAATGTCTCCTCAAACCACGCTCCCCCCATCATTACCTTCATGCAAACACACACAAACAGCTAGAGCACTGAGCTGCAGTAATTATTACAAGAGAAAATGACATCATTCACAGAAATGGCTTCTGTGATGATAACAGCTGGAATCGTCCACATAACATCCACTCACGGGACTGATCTCGCAGCCGGAGGGAGTTCCATTATGTTATTCAGGATGTTAACATTGCTCAAAGCATATTTCAGCTCTTCTAATGGCACTCAGTTCCTGTACGTTTCTGACCTCTCGAACATACAGATGTTTTCAAGCACAGGAAAAACAACATGTTCCAAGCAAAGGACATCTAACTTTTAAATGAATAATGATTTAAGTGGGGGAGAAATGAATAATGCAACAGCATTTTTGTTGCGAGTACCACAGAGCACTGAAGGCTATTTTTATTACCGCATGTAAAATGTTACCTTACCGACCCCAAACCTTTGAGGGTTAATATCTATGAGTGGTCAGTCTCACCGTCAGCCTAGTGGTCGGTTTTCCACTCTGACTGTGTTGTGGAAAGGGGACAGAGTCGTACACCACTCCTAACAGACCTGGATCTTCTGAAGAAGGCACCAAATGTCCAAAGCCCTGAAATATTCAGAGCATATGCACACATACATACACACTCATTATTAATAATGCCCACACATACATAAAGTGCTCTGATGTTTGAACAGTGCAGTTAGGAAAGATCTTCCAGGCAATGAGTGAACTGAACAAAACAAGCAGACAAGGGCAGTGGTTCCCGAACTGGGGTACACGGGGTGACCGAGGGGGGTAAGGGAACAAATTTGCTTATTTGTTTAATTCTGCCCCACCTTAAAATAACAAAACCGAGCATGCATTTCTAACAGACATAATGCTACTTCTAATGTAAAAACTGGAAAATGGTAGTGCTATAAAAAGGTCAAACTCATGACCAATCAAATGACCTCATCTTTTGCGGTCAAACCTGACTGCATTCACACAAGCAGCGTGCATATGATAGGCTGCCTTTGGAAATTGGTCTATTACTGCTGTTCTCAAGAATGTATCTTTGTAAAAGTGGGGATTTGGCACTTACTAGCATGACCAACAAATATAGACACAGACCGATTTAAGACTCAAACTCAATTTCTATACAAAAACATACCCTGTGTGAGTTCTTGTTTTTAAAGTTGATAATATATTATAGTAGCAAGAATATGAAAAATGTAATTCTTGGGGAAAAAAGCATTCTTGTGGCTATTCAGTTATTCATACAACGTCTGATGCAGGCTGTGTGAATAACTGAATAGGAGCAAGAATGCAATTTTTCATATTTCTCTACTGAACATTTTCTTTATTTAAAACATTATCTCATAACATTCATCCCACCTCTGAGCAGGAATAAATAGATGCAGCTTGTGCAAATGCAATGCAATGATTGATTTAGTTTAATTCAACGCTTTTTTATTATATTAATAATTAAATTAATGGAATTTTAAAGGAGTAGTTCACTTTTTTTTTTTTTTTTACTTTTACTGATTATTTACTCACCCCCATGTCATCCAAGATGTCCATGTCTTTCTTTCTTCAGTCGAAAAGAAATTAAGGCTTTTGATGAAAACATTGCAGGATTTTCTCCATTTAATGGACTTCAATGGGAACCAAACGGTTAAAGGTCCAAATGAGAGTTTCAGTGCAGCTTTAAAGGGCTTTAAACGACACCAGACGATGAATAAGGGACTTATCCAGCGAAACGATCGCTCATTTAAAAAATAAATAAAAAAAGTTTAAGTTTTAGAAGCACAAATGCTCGCCTTGCTTTGTTCTGTGATGAGTGTTTGTGACTCTCCTGTTCAAACTCGTTCATCAAAATGAATGAATCTTTTTTCGAGTCATGACTCGAAGGATCCTAGATAAGACCCTTATTCATCGTTTGGTGTCGTTTAAAGTCCTTTGAAGCTGCAGTAAAACTCTCATTTGGACCTTGAACCGTTTGGTTCCCAATGAAGTCCATTATATGGAGAAAATCCTGGAATGTTTTCATCAAAAGCCTTAATTTCTTTTCGACTGGTGAGTAAATTATCAGCAAAAGTTTTTTGAAAGTGAACTACTCCTTTAAGAATTTGACAAAACATGACATACATTTAATAGGGTTAGAAAAACTTTGCTTTTATAAAAGGTTAAAAAAAAATGCACCTAAAAATCTATTTTAGCTTCTAAAAGGTGTGATGGCAGCATAAGAGAGGGAAGAGAGGGGGTGTGCAGCTATAAAAAGTTTGTGAACCACTGGCCTAGGGGTCTACACTCTATCCACTTTTCAACCGTCGGGCCAAACGGTTCCAGTTATATTTCCACTTGAGCTTGGTTCAGCACAGAACGGCTACAAACCATTGTACACGTTACATTCCAAAGATCTCTGTTATCAACCCCGCAGAGGAAAATAAAACCATATCCGTACCAGCTGGGCTGGATCGGGACGGAGTGGAACGGTGTGGCCTGACAGTGGAAAAGCAGCTTCTATTACTCTGTTCTCTTTTTTTTGTCTCCATTTAAAATCACTGAGTGAAGACTTACAGTAACAGGAAGGATGAAGCCTTCATATTCCAAATTCACCACTGCAACAGTAACTGAAGTGATAGATCGCAGCTGTTCCGCCAGGGGATGAGAAGCAGGGGGCAATACAGAAGCCAAAGCTGGTGAACATAGAAATTCCTTTAAATAAATACTTTCCATAAATTGACTAAGTAGAGCTAAGTGTGTGCATCTACAGCGCCACACCAAAATAAATCACATTTTACATTTTATCTGAATTTAATGTGAGAAAATGCACAATAATGCACAAAAACTATTAAATCTAAGGATCTGAATCATGCACTAAATAAATTGACTAAATTAGACTTAAAATGAAGAAAAACTTGTTGTGTACTAGAATAGGAAATATTGGAGTTCAACACTGTAAAGTGAGTGCATTTACCTGATGCAGGCAGTGTTGAAATAACATGATCAGCTTTCAAAGAAGTCCCATCATCTAGTTTAATCTAAAAAAAAAAAATGTTTGAAAAATAAGAACACACTCACTAATAATGATGGACTACAAGACATAGAGTCAGACCATCTTAGCTGAATGTCAAAATATGTTACGTAGTGAACAAGACGCTTCATGTTGGGCCATCATCTCACCTCCCAGCCTGAACCGTCCATGTTCAGACTCTTCACTTTGGCATGATGATGAATCTCCACTCGCTCTTGCATCCTCAGCTTGTCCTCCAGGGCTTCTGGGAGTGTCTGCATGCCCCTCTTTAGAGACCACTGAGTCCAGGACTCTTTAGACGCTCTCTTTGCCAAGTCTGAAGGGACTACTTCAGGACCACCTCCTTACATAACATGAATGAAAATAAACATTATTCAACGGTAACCCCTTCTATGAAATTTGTATTAAGCATTATAAAAGGTCTTTTAATGCCTTTATAATTAACATCAATATACATTAAATATAACATTTCAAGCATTTTATATTATGGCTGTCAAACGATTAATCGCATCCAAAATAAAAGTTTGTGTTTACATAATATATGTGGGTGCACAGTGTATAATTATTTTATTTATAAATATATATATATATATACACACACACACATGCGTGTATATATTTAAGACATATTTTCATCTATATACTGTATATAGATTTACATATAATTTATATATGTAAATATAAATATTTTATATATAAATAATATTTTTTTCTTAAATACACATGCATGTGTGTGTATTAATATATATACAAAATAATTATACACAGTGCACCCACATATATTATGTAAATACAAACTTTTATTTTGGATGCGATTAATCACGATTAATCGTTTGACAGCTCTATTTTATATATAGCTGTATATAAAGTACATCAAAACCTTTTATCAAAATTATACATGAATTTTATACATGACAATGTTGATGATCCACTTATGATGACTACTGTATTTAAATGATCAATAATATCAAAAGTACTGTGGGTACTAAAAGTTGGTACTTTTGACAACACTAATAGTATATGTATATCTTTTTGATCAAAGAAATTGAACCCGCTTTGCACAAAAACATTAAGGAGCACAACTTTTTATTGAATGGTGGCATTTTGAAAAGAAATAGAGAAAAAAAATGCATAAAAGACAAACACTAGGTTTCCACCTACTGTACAGCGCTCACCTGAACCCATCAGCATGCCGAGCACGATGGAGCCCCGAGACTGCTCTGCTTTATAAAGAGGTGGAAAACAGGACCGTACACTCAACTTTCTGCAGTCTCCAGCAAAAACTCCTCTACACAGGCTGTCTATGGCGATATCTGCCATCTGCGTAGAGAGAGACACAATCAGGTGGGTTGAATCGGTTTCAGATTCTCTTTTGAGAGTGATTTGGCAGTGAAGCGTTTTATACAGCACGAGGACGAGATGGTTCATTTAAGAGGTCGTTGTGCCTCTACGCTTGTTCACACCTCAGAACCCAGACGTCTGGACACAAACGCGTGCACCGATTCATCCTCCTCTTTCCCTTTACTGATCAGTATCTCCTTCAGAACGCTCTGAATCATGGGACGAGAGAAAGGAGGGATGGTGCGGAAAACCCCACTAGAGGAAAAGAGAACAAGATGAGAAATATTTATGACTTTAAATAGGAAACTGAATGCACGGTGGACTTTACTCTCACCCAGCTCCTGATGGCATCTTGTGCAGCTGTCCATTCACATACAAGAAGCGGTTCTTAGACGCCACATGATCCTTCGTAATTGGCAGGATTTCAGACTCGAGACCCAACTCGGAGACCTGCACAAGAAAACATTAACTTGAACAATGTTCATCCTTCAATATGAGCGTTCATCTGTAGGGCCGTTCAGAAAGGTACATTGTAAATACTACATTTCATCGGCTGCTACTTAGATTTAACAGGCTTTTCTGTTTTATCTTGGAATGCAATTTGCACACTTCCTCAAAGTACTTCAAGTAAATCAGAAAAGATGATGCATATGCAAGAAAATTCAGAATAAATGGAGATAGAATGGTCTTATAGCAAAGGTATAATGTGGCAAATGTGACAGTAAATAGGTTTATAATGATTCAAACGATTATTATTTCAAATAAATGCTGTTCTTTTGAACTTTCTATTCATCAAAGAATCCTGAAAAAAATGCATCACAGTTTCCACAAAAATTGAGCAGCACAGCCGTTTAACATTGATAATAATAAGAAATTGCAGCAAATCAGCATATTAGAAACATTTCTGAAGGATCATGTGAGACTGAAGACTGGAGTAAATTACAACTTTATAATATCTTAAATTGTAATAATAAGTTTTTGCTGTACTTTTGATTAAATCACACATTAGCTCTAACTAGTTTACTTCTCTTGTTTACTATTAAATCTTGGCATTATGTACAGCAAATATTGTTGGCTTTAACAACAAATTGATGTTCTTCATGTGTGCAGTAATTCACTTAAGACCTGGATTATTATCGTTAACTAAACCAAAAACAATTAAAAACATTTCTGTTAATTGAAATTCAGCTGAAATAATATAAAATATAAATACGCATAAATACTAAGTCAAAATATGAATAAAACTATTTTTAAAAATCCCTAAAATAACACTGCCTCTGCTACGCGACTAAAGGTAAATGTATGGTGGCCATCTTGTGGCCATGCAAAGGAACAACAACAACAATGACCAAGACCAACATTATCTCAAAATAATAAGTAAATGACTCAATTCCTTATTCTGACTCAATTCTTGCATGAAGCTGATTCAAAATATATGAACAGTTTTATTTAGCAAAATCATACATTGTTATTATTATAAATAAATATTACTATTTATTTAACATTGGTCTTTTATAATATTGCTGTTGCCCCCCCAGTTTAAAAGCAATAAGTCATGAGAGGTTGTGGGTAACAGTAATTTTTATGTACAACACAATTATAATATCAGAGATAAATTGCAAGTGATCATGTGAATTGCAGTTCTTAAAATATGAAACTGACTATAAACGTGTGTCAACTTTCACATAGCTTTACATAGATTTTTCCAAATTTTTACAAGTTCACATATGTATACCATATTCAAAGTGTTCCGGCCGACAGCCCCTGCAGGTCGCACCCCTCGTGGTCCATGCTCGAACACTGCCCCGTCATCCCTCCGTGTGGAGCTCAACCAACCCCCACATCGCCCAGATTCCTCCAGCAGCACCATCTACAACACAGTGGTTACATGTGCGGATCTTCATGTTGAACGTACCAATGAAAGCAGATCTATTCAATCAAATTATCACATTGCTTCATCAAGGATCTCAAGTGGTCTAGGTCCTCAGGCTACCAGGGCTGTGAAAGTGGAACATTTTTCAAATGAAGAGCATGTTTTGCCTGTGATCGTCTACCCTACCATTCAAATGTTTGGGGTCAGTGAGATTTATTTTATCTCTCAAAGAAATTAATATGTTTATTCAACAAGTATGCATGCATTTGATTAATTAAAAGTGACAGTAAAGGAATTTGCAATTTTACAAAAGATTTCCATTAAAAATAAATGCTGTTCTTTTGAACTTTCTAGTCATCAAAGACTTAAAAAACAATCACCTGTTTATACAAGCAACTTTTCAACATTGATAATAATAAAAAAAATGTAGCTTGAGCATTAAATCAGCATATAGAATCATTTCTGGAGGATCATGTGACACACTTTGCCATCACAGGAATAAATTACATTATAAAATACACAACAATAGAAGAAAGTTATTTCACATTTAAATAATATTTCACAATATTACTCAATAAATTATTGTTCACAATATATGGTTTTTGCAGCCTCTGTGAGCACAAGAGACTCTTTTCAAAGACATGATTGAAAAATGTTTGATCAGTCGTGCAAATGTAGATTGGCTAAAGATATTTAGCATATCATTCGCGGATACTGTACCTTGGAAACATTAGGACTCTTGCTCAGATGATGACAGGCCGACAGACCCCCAATCCCCCCACCAAGCACTGCAACAATCTTCTGCATTCAGCTCCAAACACTCACCTGCGACAAGACATACCAATGAATCTACATTTATATCAGCAAGCCCATGAGTAAAAAATACAGAAGTGGGTAACACTTTATTTGATAGTTTGATTTGATTTAAAAGATTGTGTCCTTGTTACATGTACTACTTACCGTTGCAATAACAATAAATAATGCATAATTATATGCAACTAACTAACCCTCAACCAAATCCTAATTCTACCCTAACCCTATAGTAAATAGCTACATGTTGTTATAGCCTACTTATACATGCAAGATGTCCTTTTTTATAATTCAAGAATAAACAAAACACACAAATTTAGACACATTCTGAAATTTGGTCATATTGGACATTGAATGCATCTCTGACAGTTGAAAGATTAAGGGGTTTCAACACTGGCATGGGGCCCTACCCTGCCATGAGTCGAGGTCTGATGGGAGTAACAGGGTGGTGGCCCCTGATAAGGTCATTTATCATATTCAAACAAAAGAGGGCAGAAATGTGTCCTTCAATACAAACTGGTCGTTATCTGTTTAACTAGTCAGAGTTAAACTCAATCCACACATAAATATATGGAGCGAGTCTCGTTATTAAACAAACATACGGCAAAACATCCTCCAAATAATCCTTGTAGTTATTTAGAAGAAAGCGACATATTAAAAATAAATGTTAATGTTTGCAGACTTTCAAACCTGCTTTACTTGCCTAACATGTATTTGCTGACATAACATTTGCTGTGAAAAAACGTGTAAACGTAAACCTAAAAGCCCGAATGAATGCTAAATTAAATGCAAATGATAGGCTATTCATAAAAAAGTGTGACATAACACTTCTTACCTGCATACAATTATGTAATTTGGTAAGCTCGGCTTCTGCTGTTACATAGTGACTCAAGGGTCTGACTCTGGTCTCAAGTAGTAATGAAGCGTCAAGCCAGCGGCAACAGTGGTGATGCAAACTGAACAAGTGTTTCAAAATAAAAGCCCCATCCGGTTTCCGCACTTCCTGTTTACTCCAGCATGTAGCGGAATACTCAACCACTAGATGACAAAAGAGACCACGGCATTCTTTGGATAATAATTGTTTCAAGTTCAAATGACTGCCACGGACGTGTAACATATTTGTTATGTCTAAACCCATAGGCTATTGGTATATAAGTCATGGTGTGGCTTCTTTTGTCATATAAGAAAAAAAGGATGGATGCATTACAACAATGACAATTGTTATGATAATATTTATTATTTTATTTTTTTATTTTTTAGATTTTAGGGAGAAATGTGACCTAGACATGCTAGTCTTTTAGACATTTGGCAAATACATCTTGACTTAGTTCATGTGCAATATGCATGGTATACTCCTTGATGGTTCGGTTAAATGCCTTATTTCTTAACACTTTAATAATTAAATGGTCAATAGTTAGGCTATATTGTGGAAAATATCAGTTTTCTTTGATTTATGAAATACACACACACACACACACACACACACACACACACACACACACACACACACACACACACACACACACACACACACACAATGTGTGAAAACCAAAACTCAGACACTGAGTGTATTAGGTTTCACTAGCAGGTCATTGTGTCTTTGTGTCACAGAGAAGCTAATGGACCGTTCTAATTTAATCCCATGTGACACAAAAGGTGCCCTGAAGCTCCCTGCAGTTCAAAAGACGGCCCTGTTGCTTTCGGTATTTCGGAGGCCGCCATGACCACACGTCGTTGTTCACATTCTGTTCTGTAAGAACTTCACAGACCATGTTACCAAAACCACATCAGTTTAGCCTAAATGGAGATCAGGTTCGGTAGATTGATCATGTTTTGAAAGCATCTGGAAAGGGGCTTGGTAAATGAAGTCCTCATGCAGTGGGCCTGCTTTGAGTTTTAATTCTATCATGTTAAGCTCTCTTAAAGAGATAGTTTATCCAAAAATGAATATTCTGTCATCATTTACACACAATTAAGTTTGTTCAAAACTTGTGTGAGTTTCTCTCTTCTGCTGAACACAAAAGAAGATATTTTGAAGAATGGGTAACCAAACAGTATGGGGAAAATGTTATGAAAGTCAATGGGGTCCATCGACTGTTTTGTTACAGACAGTAGTGCATATAATAGGTGTTCTTTTTGTATCTTTTTGTCTTTTTTTGTATATGTATCCATCTTATGTTGCATGTTATGTCTGCCTTCTGAGTCTGGAAATAAAGTTGATGATTATATCCCTTTAAATTTCATAAACAAATTGGATTTTTCTTCTGTATTTTCTTGCAGGCTTTTAGCGTGTCAAGTTTGCATTGAAACATGTGCTAGCATTAATTCATTTTCTCAACCTGTTTGCCGTACTATAAATTACAAAATGTGCATGTGTGCAAAAACATGAGGTGATCTGTTTCAAAGTCTGATTCATTGTTCGCAGAAAAAGGTTTTCCCAAACAATCTGCCGATGATAAATTCCCAAGAGATGTTCATTTTTATTAGCTGTAGTACAGTAGTGTTAAGTGCAGTACTCAAGTAAATGTACTTTGTTACTTGTCTCTGATCGAAATAAATTGTTACCAAAAACAAAAGATCCATTAAAGTTGTATAAATAATGTTTTCATGCATGAGAACATCTGACCATATAGACCAGATAACAGTGAACAAACCTTTTATTAACGTTGCTCATAACTTTGAGAGAACCTTTCCAGAACATTTAGCAAACGTTCTGAGAAAATTTCTCAATGCTTGTTGATTTCAGATAAGACATAAAGAAAGCACTCATCTTATCACATTACATTCGGTTGATGCTTCAAATATACAGTCTGAGCACCATTTTATTAAGCAAATATGAATGTCTGTATGAAAGTCTCCATTTCACAGCGTTGCTCGAGCACCATGAGGATAAATAAAGCATGCTCTGTGACCGGTCAGAGTCTCTGCTCAGAGGGCAAACGCTGTGTGCATGTCGTGTCCTAGCGAGGTCTTTCTGTGGATGATTGCAGGCAGTGAGAGTGTGCTGACTGGACTGTAGAAGGGAGACTCACAGTCCTCCCATCTCACCCTGTGCTTCACCTTGCCATTCGCAGGCGGTTTAGCCACTTTATAGAGGAACACGTCATAGTGGACTGGCTGGTTGGGCTTGGGTAAGACTTTGGCTTTTTTGGGAAGGTGAAGCTCCACGTCTATTGTCATTCGTCCCTGCAAAGAGAACACAGGCAAAGACACGTGCACAAAGCACATTTCCATTGGCACACAAAGAGTAAAATGTGTCCAGAGACATGAGCATTTTTCCAGTGTGTGGTTTAGCTGCTGTCACATTTGCCACCAAAATAAATCCAAATATGCAATGAAATTATGGAAATTATGCTTTCAGAAAATTATACCCATTTTAATAACTATTAAGAATATTTTATATTTTATCTATCTATCTATCTATCTATCTATCTATCTATCTATCTATCTATCTATCTATCTATCTATCTATCTATCTATCTATCTATCTATCTATCTATCTATCTATCTATCTATCTATCTATCTATCTATCTATCTATCTATCTATCTATCTCTCTCTCTCTCTCTCTCTCTTAATCTAGGCGTAATTTAATTAAAAGAACAACAATAAAAAAAAACGTTTAAAAAATCACAATACCTTTTCGTTACTGCATTTCTTTCCACTGAGTATATTGGTACGGAAGCGTATTGAAGCGTACTGAATTAATGAGTTAATTATCTCAGGATTACAAGATAATTTTTCATGGAAAAAAGTTTTTGCTCTGTTTTTTTTCTGAATTAATGAGTTAATTATCTCAGAATTACAAGATAATTTTTCATGGAAATTGTTTTTTTGCTCTTTTTTCTGAATTAATGACTTGATCATTTCAAAAAAACTCAGAAATTCAGAAAAAAAGAGCAAAAACTTTTTTTCCATGAAAAATTATCTCGTAAAGTATGAGATAATTAACTCGTTAATTCAGAAAAACAGAGCAAAACCTTTTTTCCATGAAAATTATCTCGCAATTCTGAGATAATTAACTTGTTAATTCAGAAAAACAGAGTAGATTTTGTTTCCTCAAGTGAATGCAACACGCTTCCGTATATTGGTAATAATATTATAATATTAACAACTGAAGTATTTACAGATTTGTCATGAAAATAACTGAATAACCCCCACCACCACCAATTAGGGGGTAACATGTTTTAAAGGAGACCCACAGCAAGAACTTGCACCAGGACCCTGGATACACCAGCCCTGTGGGGAAGTATTTTTTATTTTTTTTGCTATTGAGCCATAATCTATCAGACCCATTTCCATTATAAAAAGGCTTCTCAGCCCACATTCCAAAGGCTTCATTAATAATCTTAAGCAGTCCTTATTAGTTCAGCGTGTTCTGATGAACCCACACAATCTAAATCTCCTAAACCAATGCTCTGAACGTGTGTGCGCTCGCATGTGTCCACGTATTCTAAACGGCCAATGGCTGAACTCTGTCTGAGATCTGCATGTCATCGTTCCACTGTATCTGTGGCCAATGGGGAGACAGGGATGCTGCATGCATGTGCCCATGTTGGTGTAGGCGGATGTTGCCACACCTCGGTATGAAATGTTCACTCTTATACATCATTTGACTGTAGAGCACGTAAATCAGATTCATTTAAAACAGACACACTGAGTTAATTATGTGCCAGCTGGAAAACTGCTTAGGTGAAGCTTAAAAATTGAAATAAGAATTGAAAGGAAATTTTAGATCAATAGTATATGATGTAGTTCAAGAATTTGGACTCGGTCTTACTGTACTGTAGGTCTTACCTTATATAGAAATGCCATTACATTATACATGATATCAAACCAAATGGCATCCACAAACAAATAATATCCGACCTTTTCAGATCTAACTTCACTATTTTTAACCATTTGTGTATTTTTTTTAAACAAAGGTCATTTTAAGTGGACATATGAAGTCAGTTACTACCGTTGTATGTAGGCTACTTGTATGTAAATGAGGGTTGAGCTTTTTCGAGCAACTGTAGAATCTCCTTTGTATTTTGCTGTATGCTGTTCCACTTGAGTGACCCTTAGTATCAGAATGTGTTTCACCGACTACACCCCCAGAATTGCATTTGCATGAAGATCAACACGGCAGAGAAAAGGAAGGGGAGGGAAGAAAGCAGTGAAAAATGAGAGCGAGAAGAAAGAAAGAATGCTAGAGAGAGCAGTGGTGAGATCGAGTTGGTTTTGGTTCAACATAAACTTGAAAGCAGCCCTTGCATGGGGACATACGTGTCCTTTTGCACTGTGTCTGAGATTGAGGGACACCTCGGGGTTATTTTTAGTGTGTGTCTCACGAACGAACACTCCCTTGTTTTTGATACTTGTATATATGCTGTTGTCATGGCAGCAGGCAGGAATTAGATTAGGAAAAAGGCCGTAATAAGTGGAGCTGCCACAAACTCAGATTTGGCCAGAAACTATGCAAAGTGCTCTTAAGCATGAGCTCTGAACAGTCTGAGCTGAGCAGACAATACAACCAGACTCATGTGAGTATGTGGGTCTATATGTTCCCGGATCTGATTTCATAGGCATCTGTGGTGCATTGAAAAGGTACTTGTGTCTCTCTGTGCATATGAGAGGATGAAGTGCTCCCTATTATTCATTGTAATGCCGATTCACACAAAGACATCAAGCAGAGGCCCTTGAGGTAGCCTACTGAAAACACAGGAAGGGATATATATATATATATATATATATATATATATATATATATATATATATATATATATATATATATATATATATATATATATTAAATATATTAAAAATAAAAAGATGCAGGTATAAAAAAATCAATTAATATTATGTAATATTAAAGATTATATACAAAATTGGTAAAATTGCCTCAGCTGTGCATCTGCTTCCTATTTGCCGCATTGAACTTCTCTATTGGTGTGATTAAGGG